ACGCTCAGAGAACCATCCTGATCAAACAGTGTACCAAAAGCAGGCGTCCCCCTTGTCAACCTGTCTGCAAACAGACTGGCACTTGTGCCTCGGGGAGAAGCAGATGACTAACAAAGTATTGCTGAATAGCACATTGGTCTGTCCCTTCCTCAGTCCACTGAGAAGGATATGGGATTACAAACTGAACTGCTGTTACTTCAAAAGTTGGCTGTGCAGGTTAGGCATGCTCCTTAGACCAGCCTCCTGAAGATACCATTACTATGTCTCTAAAGTGGCCAAGGGTAATTTGTGTGTTTTGCAGGTCCCCTGACTGACCTGTCTCGCACCTGGGGAATCCCTGGAGAACCCACTAATTCCTCATTCCTGCCACCACCAATGGACATCAGCGAACAGCCGTTTCCTGGGGCTGAGAACCGAACTGAGAAGGAAGTAATATCTCCTTTTGCAACTAGTAATGTAGTGACAGAGGAGCCTGTGGTAGCTGTGAAGGACGAAGTGAGCATCCTGGGCTCACCTGATGAGAACCCAACCAATGATGGGGTTACAACAGTGAGAGGCCCCACGACTCACCTGCCTTCAGTGGTTCACGTAACTCCTTCAGAAGCCTCAGGCACGGTCCGTGAGATTGAACCTAAAATCCCTAGCTCTGATGTGCCAGACACTAAAGACATGCCTGAGCCCCACTCTACCATCCATCATGATGGAGACATCACTGCCACCCCCACGGCAGCTCCAAAGGACATTGTTCCCACACACGAGGAGGTCTCTGAAGATGGCTCTGGAGACCCGGTGAGGACTTGTAGCTGTGCCACCCTTTCCAGGGAGATGGCTTTAGTAGAAGGTAGTTTGGTTTTGCATGAAAGGGTGATAATTTGTCAAAGATGATTGATCTAATAGGTTATATCGATAAAGGATTTTAGATGAGAAAAAAAAAAAAACAAAACTGTGTAAAATCTCCAGGAACAGACATGAAGAGAAACACGAATAACCTGCTTTGTATGTCCCAACAGGGAGACTTCATCTTGACTAAAGATGAGGATTTAGTCCCCACCCAGAACTCGGAAGTACTGGCTGACTCTGGGAGGAATGCCAAAGCAGCAGGAGCCTCGGGAATAATGGACAGAAAAGAAGTTCTTGGAGGTACCTGATAGTCTGGATTTCTAGCTGGTAAAAGCAGACTCTCGCAGGAGTCTGCCAGGCAGCAGAAGCTGCAGTTCTGCAAGCACATCTCTGAGCACGAAAGCAAATCTTTTACAGTAGACCTCTGAAATGAGGGTGGTGATTCATGATTCTGCATTATGAAAACCCTAACGGGGCAAATATTAATCTGCTAATAGGAAAGCAGCCAGTGCTAGTTATCTGGGATTTTGTGTATAAACCTATCCCTTCGCTCCTCAAAAATGACAGTAGAGCTGCTCTGGTGCTGCCTCCATCAGGTTACTGAAATTGAGCAACGTTGCCTTGTGAGCTTTGCAGCATGGCCTAGTGAGAGATGTTTCTCTAGGCTTACCTCAGGTAGATGAGCAGTCATGGCTCATGGTTTGGGAGGGGGCAAAAGGAAAAATGAATTTTTGGAAGTTGTGATGTGAGGGACCGCTGAGTAAGGAACAATCTGGAACTTACAGTCATACTGGCATTTTCTGGTGTGGTGTCTAGAGTAATTGTGGCTTTTTTCCCCTCTTCTAGGTGTTATTGCTGGAGGACTTGTAGGCTTGGTGTTTGCAGTGTTCCTAGTTGCATTTATGCTGTACAGAATGAAGAAAAAAGATGAAGGCAGCTATTCACTGGATGAACCAAAACAGTCCAACGGAGGATACCAAAAACCACACAAACAAGAAGAATTCTATGCATAAACACTGATCTTCAGGACACTTCTTATTCCATCTTTCTTGGACTCTTCTCTCCCTGCACGTGGACCTGCTAGTGTGCTTTGCATTAAACTTAAGCCATATGATCATTGGGCTGTTTGCCCTTACCACTTTGCCATTGGAAATCTTATCACTACAAAGTAGATCTGGATCCATTGAACATTCCCTGCTTTCTTGCACAACTTTTTTTTTTTCCCAAACAGCAGTGGGACTTAAAGTTCCTAAACTCACTTTGGTTTATCTAAAGACTGCTGGGGCAGGCAGTGGGGAGAAGATAAGGGAGCACTGTATGTATAAACCTCTTGGTATTTAGGGAAAGGGCTAGCAAGAATAAGCAGTTACCAGTGCTCGACTTCTGTATAGCAGGGATCCTTCCTATTTAACTCCTAGACATGTTTTAAGGGTAACAAATGGCTGTGCTGAGCAGACGTTTGGTACACTGCAATCCTCTAGCTCTTTCTAACTGCCGTATTTGGAGCACTTAATTCCTATGAAATGTCAAGCTGAACGTGATTTCTAGTGAAGGGAGGTGTGAGGGCCAGGGTAAGCAAATGATTGTCACGTGACTTAAAATAACTTATTTTGGAAGCATTATCCCATACTCAGAACCAGCTCCTAAGCCATTACTGCATACATTAACACAAAACAAAGCCCAGAGACCCCAAAACTAAGTGGAGAGTTCATCGTACCAGTAGCATTGGGCTGTCCCACTACCCTCTTGCTCTTTCTAGGCTTAGGTAAGAAATAGATTTTTTTTCTCAGCAGTTTCATCTCAGACATTCCTTCTTCTTAGGTGCTGAATCTAGGCTGCAAATACTGCTGCACATGCTCTTAGCCACGCTGCTGTGCAGTCACCAGGGGACTGGTGGCTGTGGTAGCACCTACCTCTCTGTGCACTGTTTACAGCGGTTGTCTCGGGACGTGGTCTCTGCCACAGAATACCTTGGCACACAGGGGTGGAAGGTAGAAAGCAGCATATCATGACTTCGCAGCTAAGGAGTAGAGAAGCACAGCACCTGAAACAAGCCTGGTGAAGGCTAAGTGTAGATGGCCTTAAATATATACAGCAGTTGGTGTGCTTGACTCTCACAACTCCAGAATGTCTCTTCAGAAGCTGTTCCTGCACCTTGGAGAGAAGCAGCTCCAGGGATGTCAGACTAGTAAGGGCTGAAAAGCACCTGAGGAAAGTCTGGGTGCCTGAAGCTGTGGGTGGTCAATGTGCTGTCAGATGCAAGGCACTGAGGCCTCACTCAGGGTCTGGAGTTCTCCAGAGTGTCTCAGACCGAGTGAGAAGAGTGTGTTCTGCACAAGCCTTACTTCAGCTCTGCCTTTGGTTAGCTTCTTGCAAGTTTAGTTCCTCATCACTCAGTGCAGAAGGTTTTGGATGGATAGAGGAGTGTTTACAGCTGATGTAAATATTTGTGCTGTTGAGCCGGAGGGAACGATTGGAGAATATTGCAACAGTTGATAAAAATGTTGCACACGAACGGTAAAACTTAAAAAGTTGTGTAATTTTAAATGAAGTATAAAACACTCCTGAGCTGCTATGCAGCTAAAATTGGTGCCTTCTCTGCAAACCCAAGAAAAACAAAAACAAACCAACAAAACACTTGATTCCAAACTCTTCTTTATGCACAAGGAAAACCTGTGCATACGTGTAGCTGGCTGCTTTTAAGTAAAGCTGCAAAGTCCATTATGATGTGTTTGGTTTTTTTTTTTACTGAATGAATTTTTATAGGTTAATGCAATGACCAGATGGTGTTAATTGCAGCTGTAATTCTTTGCTTTGTATAGGAATGTAGAATTGTTGTTTGATAGGTTTTATCTATAAAAAGGTTCTTGTCAAGCACAGGAAGATAAAGTGGTAAGCTTCAGTTGTACCTCACAACCTTGCTAGGGGAAAAGGAAAAAAACTGTATATTTTGGTATTCTAAACTGACAGTTTGTGAAACAAACATGACATTCTGTGTTATTTAAGTGGTACAAAGGAAATATGAGTTCTAACAGAAGATCCAATATTTGGTTATCTGGATGCCATGTAAAGGTGTACTGCAATAAATGGCATTTTGGCAAGACTGTGTCTGATCTGTGAACATTGCTCTATGTAGCACTTCACAAAGTAGATGTGGCATTTAAAACTGCCCAGCTCTTTACAGAAGTTGGATTCCAAGTGTGCAATGTGAGTTTTGGTGTTAAACATAAGGAGGATCAGCTCAGAATTTGAAGGGAATGAGAGTGGCCTGCTCCCTTCTTACCCTGCCCTGGATGTGCAGGTTGTAGAGAGCTGCAGAGGCTGGGATGTGAACAGGTTGTAGTGGAGACTTCAATGAAATCTATTTGCTGCAGCCCTGCAGCATTGGAACCATACTGGTTCCAATTTTAGGAGCTCTGCTTGCTTGTGCATCCTGAAAGAGGTGAAAGAAGCTGTAGATCTTCCACAGGGCTCCCTCTGTGCTACCTGTCTTCTGCCTTCATGCCCTGCAAAGTAGGGAGGGCTGCAGGAGAGGCAGCTCCAAGTCTTTCTGTTAACATGTGCTTCACAAGACCAATGTGGACATTGCAGCTCCAAGGGGGGAGAACAGAGTGGGCACGTCCTAAGCACTCTGCTCTACAGCATCGATTAGTCTGGGGTGCTGCGGCCCCTGCGGGAGGAGATTGGGCAGAGCAGAAGTAGGGGAAGATGTCCTTCACAAAACAGGGAAGTCCAAATCTGCTGGCTGTCTTGGTGGGACCTACTGCAGGTTATACAATTCTATTTTATTATTTTTACAAGCTTTAAGAAGCTTTTTCTTCTTGTTTTCTAAACTAGCCACTGTATTTTTAGTTTGTTGTCTCTTGGTTTACACTAGAACCGTGTGGGCTGTTTCCCATCAGAAAATGTTTGGAGCAGTCTTGGTAATGTGAAGGTTTAGAGATCATGCAAAAGGCTTGAAGGATTTGGTTTAGAAACTTTGCTTCCATAGCTAAACAAAGCTGGGAGGTGATTTCTAATTACGTGTTAACTTTGCCAGACCCTTAAATGGAGTGAAAGACTTGTGTAAGATGAGAGTGACTGTTTTGCATAGCAGTGTTTTACCTGCTATGAATGCTTTGTCTTGGGGCTTCCCAAGACTTTTGCTTCCCCTTTTGCAGTTGGTGATAACGTGGGAAGTTGAGGTGGCAGGGAGGGAAGAAATTAATTGCTGAGGGAAGTGGGAAATTTCTATGTGAAAATCCTTACAAATGAAATACAAGTGTCTGATCCTCGGCATGCACTTGAGAAAAACTTTGTTGGACTAAGAGAGAATAATCTATAGAAGGGATAGGAGAGAATGATCTGTAGAAGGGACAAAAGAGAATGATCTATAGAAGGGATAATCTGCCTCTGTATTCTGGCACAGGTTAGCCTGGATTTTCCCAAGTCACGTTTCTGTTCACTGTGTTTCCTGACTTTATCCATGCTGGACCAATTGCCACATTTGCTGTTGTTCACAAGTAAGATGCAAAGAATGTGGCTGGCAGAAAGTCTGACCCCTTCTTTGTTCTGGAAAAATGAGCTGGAGGGTGTCAATGTACTGAATGTCAAGGAAGCCAAACTAGGAGAGGAGGAGGACTTCTCACAATTCTCACTTTGTCAGGTTGCATTAGATGCTATAAAGGAAGCTAAAGGAAATCTAAAAGGCTGTATAATCTTCTAATTGAAATAGAAATCAGGGAAAAAAAAGAGGGCCACTCTGTGGGGGTACTGAGAAGAAAAGCTGACACTTCATAAATGCCTCATCTGAGTCTTCGTCAGAACTAGTATCTATATTGATGAAAATGAGTAGTGGAATAAAGGTGCAGGGTGAAATTCGCTCCATTTAAGGGAGCAGCAAAACTCAAAAACTCTGTAAATATGCAGGAGATGAGATAGGAACTCAAATAGTGACTTGGCATTGCAGGGTGGTGTTTAGCTCATGGGACTGGAAGCCTGATGGACAGTGTTTTTAATAAGTTTGTCAAATTAGAGGACAGCAATTTTACTGCAGAAAATGTAGTGCAGAGTCTGCACTAAGGAAAAGGTATGACCTCAGCAGTATGCAGGGTCCTACAAAAGGATCTGATGGATAGAAAAATCAAAAGATAGGATGCTGATAGATGGAATAAAATAGGTTAACCAAAAGTAGATTGTGCCATGCTAATCAGATCTCTGCTTCTTCATAGCAGTTTTTTCAGTCTGAGTCAATCTATTCTAACTGAATTTCAGTAAAGCTATTTATCAGTGCCACACAGAAAACTGGATAATCAAAAGGAGGAAGATGGGGATTGGTGGAAGAATGGTAAAGTGGTGAGGAATAGGCTAAGGAGGAGCCTGCAGCAGGCTCTGCAAGATGGGAAGCTAACAGGAAGAAAAAAACTCATTTGGGGGACATCTTTCTAAATACTGTCTGAAATCATGGAATCATAGAGTCATTAAGTTTGGAAAAGACCTCTAATGGAAGGGAATACATGCAATTACATTTGCCCTTGGCAACCAGGGAAGCCTCAAAAGTATGTAATGTCAGAAAATTAAAATATTCTACTCTTGATAAGTAACAGTTAAGAACGACTTCAACAGGACGAGGTCAGGCATTGGAGGGAGTAACAACAAGAATTTCTGCTCTAACCTGGGAATAAAAGAGGGGAAGAAAGAAGTAGGGAATTAGTCAATTTTAGAATAATTATCTGTGTGATGCAGCTGTAAGAAAGGGGGAAAAAAAAGTATAAATGGAGGATGCAGGAGCCAAGGCATTTCCAGCAAATAGAGGGAGTTTTCAGCATTGTGGTTATCTTTATACAGAGAGCTAGTGAGCCCTTCATTTGCCATCACCTATACACTCTCATTTGTGCTGGGAAGGAACAGAGGTGAAACTGTGGGAATGCTGAGTCTCTTCCCACAGAAAACTAGTGGTGGTTGCTTTGTTCAGCTGGGGAAAGTGCACTGACAGGTCCCACAGATGCTGTTGGCATGCTGCTTGTGGTACGAAATACGGGTGATACGAAAGGTGGAGATGAGCAGTTCAGGCTGAAGAATGCTATAGGAGGAAGGGAAAAAAAGAATAAGCTGGCAAGTGCAAGCTTTGAAATAATTTAAAACCTTGAGAATCTTGCCATTAATGATAGGGGCAATAAATCAAAATGGATGGAATACAAATTTGATGTTCAGGAATATTATGGTATGAAATGTTCTCGAGCCAGTAGGATGTCCTTCAGCCAACAGTCTGTGCAAAGAATACAGAGCCCAGTTAAAAGCCCTTCCTCTCTGTTTTTCCTCTTAACAATCTTTAGATCAAGATGAGAGGTTTTTAGGCCATTTCACTATGAGCTGCGAAGAAATCTCTTTGTGTCTAACACAGACAAGATCAGCTGAGCCACATTTCCAGGTGGAGGTTTCTGCAAAGACACCTCTTTTAAGAGGCAAGGCTAATTGGGCAAGTCTGTGTCTCTTCTGTGAGGAGAAAATTTGTCCTTTGGACAGAGTTAATTTTCACCTGGAGCTGGGAGGAGGCACAGCCAGAAGTGG